GATAAACAAGAATTTCTGGAGCGATTGCACGCGGTGGGATGGGATCTGTAATTCTGCACGAAACTGTAGCAATCTGTACAATTAGTTCAGACATTTTCCGTGTGTAGTGGAGTCGCTACCTCACAGTGGCTAAACGATAGACGAGGGGATGAGCGGGGCATCGACTCGCAAATAACACAGGTTGGGCATCTTCCCAGCGTAAGCGTAATATATCAATCAACGCTTTAACCCACTTAAATATCTAGCTCTTACTGTAACTAATGCTCACCGCACGAAAATGACAATTCGAGAAAATAACGAATTCATGTTGGAAGCATAGGGTTATCGGATTTATTATTTCAATTCCGATCGATATTACTCGAAAATTTGTTGAAACAATTCTTCTTCAAAGGAATCAAAGGAATTAATTCAGGGTGGAGACTTCAACTTGAATAAATTCGCTACTAAATTTGTTGTTTGTTTGTTTGTTCTAAAATTTGTTCTATCCGTCATTCGGTTGCCCCCTTACGAGCAACCCTCAAAAGTCTTCGAAAGTCTTGTGCGAGCAAGGAATGGGGGAGTGAATGATTTTACTGAAAATTTGCGAGACACATTAACGTTTAAATGTATTTACCTACATTTGGCGAGCAATATCGAGAATATAACCCTTCAAGGGGAACTTGAATCAACCCAAACATGCTTTTTCATATGCAACCCTACGGCTTGTGACCCCTCATTGGAAAGCTGGTTGAAAGAGGAATCCAGCGTACTGATCATATTACGGTTTACAGTACGTTCGGTGGTCGCATGAAATCAAAATATAATTTGGAAGTACAATATATTTTCAACGTATTTTCATTAAAATTGCGACCTATAGTGACAGTGATATTGGACATTTCCACCGGTTCGCAATAACACTTCGTTTCGAACTGTAAATTCGGCAAAAAAACTAAATTTCTATTTGCGGCTCTATAAAAACCCTGGAAATTTCTATTTGCGGCTCTATAAAAACCCTGGAATACAATAGCATATAGCAGTTGTGGCAAAAAATTGACATCAATGTTCAACACATATTTTGAGCGATTGATACGTTCAAATTAAAATGAATTTTAAAATCATATTTCAATATTATGCAACCTTTGAACGTATGAAAAACTAAAATTTGACTAGTACGCTGGATTCCTCTTTTTTGCTTTCCAATGAGGGGTCACAAGCCATAGGGTTACATTTGAAAAAATCATGTTGAAGATGTTTTCAGCTACCCCTGGAGGGATATATTCTCGATATTGCTTGCAAACGGTAGGTGAATACGTTAGATCGTTGACGTATGTCGGGAACCTTAAGAATAAATTTAATATCCACCTCCCCGCTAACGAATTTATTCCAGTTAAAGTCTCCACACTGTACAGTGTGTCCAGTTTTCGATGCTTTTGCATGATATCTCAGTTATCTCTGGAGATAGAACCTTGCGGTTTTCGCGGTCCTGTGCCACTTTTTTGTGAAACTCAAGATGGCCCAATCAGATTTTGCAGGACTGTTTCCGTTTATGAGATACAGGGCGATTTCGAAAATTTATACTTTTTGAACCCCCTCTATATCTACAAAGTTCATCAGCGAAAATGTCAAATTAAAATTTTAACCCATAAAGAATTTCATGCATTATCCAGTGGCGCACAACAATTTTTTTTTCGGGGTATGGTTTTGAAGATACGACTCAAACTTATGATTTTTTAAATTGAACACCCTGTATTTTATAAGCTCATTAAATTCCTTATTTTTTCCTTTCGAAATGATATATGATGTTATAATATAACATTTTCAAAAATGTTCAAAAATCACTAAAACATTAAATTCCAATAGTGGGCTATGGGTTTTTCGAGGGATTTTCATATAAAGAAATTCACAATTGAAGGAATATTTCCTTTGATTGTTCCATGAAGGGGGAAATAACAATTTCAACACTAATTAACTTGCAAAACACAAGACTTAGATACCTGATATCCACAAATATATAGTCATAAAAAGTTCATAATGTAGAATAAGCACCTGATCGAATATTTACTAAAACAATTGAATTTCGAAATTATTCAGTGATTTATTCATTGAATTGTTCAAATTGATGTTCATTTTCCATCACAAACTTTCTCAATACATATTAATCATTGAAAGATGTCTTTGTAATTCCTGGAAAACTGCCTCTGTTGTTGCACAAAGTTCTTCAAGTATGTTGGGCCACTCACTGTATTAAGAAGTATTAAGAAAGTTTGTCAACTGTATGTTAGGGAAAATGGATATCAATTTGAACATGTCAATGAATAAGTTACTGAATAATTCCGGAATTCAATTGTTTGTATTTGTATATCAATAAGTAGCGCGGGTACAGCTAGTGACTTATAAAACAATGTATCACATTTGACAGCCCTGTGGCTACCCCTCACTTTTTATTTTCATATTGTCATTGAAAATTGCGTATTATTCCATTTGGAATACAACATCAGCATATACGTGGTATTTTGTTCATTGATAACTAGCCGACCTCGCAAACGTTGTTTTGCTATATACATTATTTCTATTATATATTTTTCCAGTTCAATATTCATCAAGACACTATTATTATTTTATTTTCTAGGTACTTCTTATTAGTTTCGCTATCTATAAAAGCGTGTTTCTTTATTTTTTCAAACTACCATTTATTTCAACTACTTTTTAGTTCACTTGAATTTTGACGAAAGAATCATAATATCCGACTCCTAAAACCCTAGATGTATAGAATCGGAACATAATTACAAAACTTGTCCGCTATATTGGATCTACCATCTTGAATTTCCTAATTTTGACGAAGGAATAATAATTTTCGATCCCGAAAACGCCCACTTACAAATTTTGAATAGAATCGGTATACAGGGTAACTCACGGTCGATGGTACGTTAGACGTTTATGGAGAACGGGACATAGGATCATTCTGAAATTTTGGTTACTCACGTAGTTGCTTGTGGTCTATCGATCTAAAATATTTTCAGCTCTGCGACGTTGCCGCTTCTATCGAAAAGTAGCAACAACTTTGATATTTTAACTGGAACACCCTGTATTTTATTGCATTTTCAGATTCTCTTTGAAGAGCTGATTTCATCGATGCATCACTTGGGGTCTAGCGGAAATGATTACAGAGATATAGGGTGTGAAAATTCGACATTTTTCAACTTTAGGAATTCTTGTTGTCGAAACTATTCATTATTGGTCAAAACGGCTCACATGTCCTATCTCAACTTTTGATCAACTATCTACTGACATTTAATTGAAACAAATACAGGGTCGTGCAGAATTCAGAATCTTGATCACCTGGTATATGTCCCAATTAAATATCAGTAGATAGTTAATCAAAAGTTGAGATAGGGACTTGTAAGCCGTTTTGACCAATAATGAATAGTTTCGACGAAAAAAATTCCTAAAGTTGAAAAATGACGATTTTTCACACCCTATATCTCTGTAATCATTTCCGCTAGACCCCAAGTGTGATGCATCGATAAAATCAGCTCTTCAGAGAGAATCTGAAAATGCAATAAAATACAGGGTGTTCCATTTGAAATAACAAAGTTGTTGCTACTTTTCGATAGAAGCGGCAACGCCGCAGAGCTGAAAATATTTTAGATCGATAGACCAAGAGCAACTACGTGAGTAACCAAAATTTCAGAATGATCCTATGTCCCGTTCTCCGTAAACGTCTAACGTACCATGGACCGTGAGTTACCCTGTATAATTACAAAACTCGTCCGGTATATTGCTTCCACCGTCTTGAATTTCCAAATCCCGCTCTTTCCAAATTTTGACAAAAGAATCATAATCTCCGACCCCGAAAACACCCAGATAACAATTTTGAAGAGAGTCGGATCTTAATTACAATACTCGTCCGCCATCTTGAATTCCCTAATTTCGACGAAAGAATCATAATCTCCGACCCCGAAAACCACCAAATACCAAATTTGAATAAAATCGGATCCTTATTACAAAATCCGTCATCTTGAATTTCTTAATTTTGACGAAGGAATCATAATCCCCGATCACGAAACCCCCTAGGTACTAATTTTGAAAAGAATCGGATTATAAATACAAAACTCTTCCGCCATCTTGAATTTCCAAATTCCGCCCGAATTTTCAAATTCTGACGAAAGAATCATAATCTCCGACCCCGAAAACCCTCAGATAACAATTTAAAATAGAATCAGATCATAATTACAAAACTCGTCCGATATATTAGATCCGCCATCTTGAATTTCCTAATGGTACCGGGATAAAAAGTATCCTATAACCTTCTCCTGGTTCTAAGCTACCTCCCTACCAAGTTTCAGCCAAATCGATCTAGTGGTTTCGGAGCATATTCAATACATACAAACAAACTATCAAATCTTTCCTCTTCATAATATTAGTATAAACAACAAAAACTCAACATTATGGAACTTTTTCACGTTACTTGAATGAAAAATTGCCTCAGCACATGTTTTTATAAACTTTCAAAATGGTAATGTGCCAATGTGTTTGTTGTTATTAATGAACAAAATACCAAGTTTGTGCTATCATTGTATTCCAGATAGAATGACACGCAATTCTATGACAATATACAGGGGTTGCCATTTAAAAATAAATAGTGGGAGGTAGCTACCACAGGACTCTCAAATGTAATACATTTTTCTATAAGTCATCAGTGCGATTCAAAGCTGTTTTTTTCAATTACCCTGTCAAATAAATGATATATCGCCTGTATCCAATAACTTGGGACACCTAGTATGTGGATTTTCTGGATCAATAATAAGACCATTGAGACTGGGGCTGTTAATGATTTCTCATTATCCAAAGATTATTTCAAATTTCATCACATGGTGAAGATAATTCATTGGAATCAAGACAAAGACTCATTTTATTCGAATATAGTAAAACAAAAGCAATCAGTGTGAATGAAAACAGTATTTTAATTCATTAACTAGGTAGGTGCATTGAACAGTCTTTTTATGAATATTATTTTGAAGGATAAGTTTCAAGAATGAGAGAGATGATGGTTTATTCAAGTGTATGCAATGTAGTTTCGAAACAAAATACAGATTTTGTGCAGACAGACATTCCAAATGGCATGGAAAATCAGATGCAAAGAAGAAAATTTACCATTGTGAGCAGTGTCCTTATAGAATAACAAATAAACAACTGATGCTGGAACACCAGAAAAATCATGAAATTTCGAAATTCAATGATGATGGTAAGAAACCAGCCTCCTTCCTTCCTTCCTATATTTAAGAAAATGACATCATCTATGCAATGTTCATTAGTGTTTGGACAATAGACATAGGAAATGTCATTTTTGTTGATATATGAGAAATATGTAGATCTAGAATATCACTAATGAATAACATTTTGTTTCAGATATTCCCACATTATATCCATTCACATATTCGCCAGAAAATAAGAAATTATTGTTATGATATGAAGAATGAACATATTTCAATCAACACGGTATATTATTCTTCCTACATCATATTCCTATTCCAAAAATGTTGATATCCGTGAAATATTTTTTTCTTTACAATAAATGCAGATAATCCTTTCAAATAATAGTCGAATTTACGCCACAAACCTATTTCATATTGATCATTCGTATAAATAGTATTTGATGCAATCATTCGTTATTAAACATCATCGCAAATAAGTTTTTTCAACAATGAAATTCGGCACCTTCGAAAAACGCCAGCTTCGACGACGAAAGTCATTGTTATCTGATTTCTGGCTTTCCCATTGAAAATAGGACCACATATTTGTTGCCAGATTTGTATAACTAGTAATTACCTTATGATATTCAATATGACCAATGAAAACCGTATTCACATACCAGCAAGATGCTACAGTACCAATAAAAATATCCTAGTATTCCTAATAATGATCGAGATTTTATTTAAACCTAAATTATTTTGTGACCCTGGCAACAGGGTGATGCCTAGAGTTCTCAGAAATACAAGAAGTAAAGAAGATGACGAACTACATTGCCAACTTATACTTCCGAACGTCAGTTTCGTATGTCACCTTCATCTTCGAATCCTTGTTTCATTTAATCAAGATGTGGCCGGCGTACCTCAGTGCTTCGATGCTTCAATATCGATTCACGTCGAGGTATCGATCGTGGGTTCGAGACCCACGAACGCAGACTTTTTCTGATGGCCTAAGAAAGTGTTTGGGATCACACGTTAAAAGGTAAGGCCCCCGTCATTCCTTGCTCGCACAAGTCTTACGAAGACTTCTGAGGGTTGCTCGTAAGGGGGCAACCGAATGACGGATAGAACAATTTAAGAACAATTTAACAATTTTAAGATGTGAATATTCGAAGATTTTCCTTTTATTATCTGATTCTTCAGTTGTGTGTTGTGTTCTTGTTATCTGCAGTAAGTATTCTGTCCAGAAAATTCACCAGTCTAGGGCGAGCATATTTTGATTGAAATGGCGATTTTTTTCAGGTGATAACGTCACTTGTTTTCTATCGTTTTTCATGTTACGAAATATCGGAAAAAACGGTTTGCGAAATAAAATTTTTCACTGAAGCAGGCCCATTTTCAAGTTTTACCTACCTTTTCGTGAGCTCTGAAAGTTTTCATACAATTTCACTCCATTTCCACCCCAAAAATCGAGTAAAATCGGAAATATGTCATTTACATTCGGAAAAAATACCTTGTTATAGCTTTTTTTGTGAAAAATAACATGAGGCATAACATGTTATTGAGTTTTAACCGTCCCCTGATTTTGTCGCATCAATTTTATCCCCCATTTTCACCATCAAATCGAAAAAAAAAAATCGGAAATCTGTCATTTTCATTGATAAAAAAATGTCTTGTTTTGAATTTTTGCCGTCAATTGCCGTCAAAAAATACATAAGGGGTATATCAACGATTGTATTCATACCCCCTGATATTGTCGCATCAATTTTGCCGCATTTTCGCCCCAAAAATCTGACATTTTCATTGGGAAAAATATCTCGTCATAGATTTTTTGTCAAAAAATACAGAAGGCAAAACTACGCTCATATAAATACATACGTAAAATGGGCGAATTTACCTTTCCACCAGTGTTGCCAGCTGCTGAACATAAAATGTCGCATAAAGTCACGAAAAAACCACAGCGAGAGAAGCTAGTAGAAAGCACGCCACAGGCGAAATTTTTGAAAATTTAGCGACTTTCCTCCGTGATTTAGCGACATTTCCGATCTTATTTCGTCATTTTAAGTTAGTTCATAACATCAGATAGAAAATCGTAGTAGAACCAAAAAAAAATGGAATGAATATAAATTTTCCTAAAAAACTTCATTAGGTACTATTATAGGTGGTAAACCACAAAATATATTCCTCGGTCGCATTTGAAGTATTTCTTTGATCAAATCACACAAATAACCTGTCAACTCATATTTCAAGATGTTCAACATCTTACAGATATCTATAAGTTGATACTGATTTAGGCAAAATGAAATAACAAGCACCATTTTTGAACCATACAAAATATTATTCAAAAGTGGCAGAAGAGGCACAAATGATGAAAACAAACCCTGTCATGTGTCATTCTCATCTCTGCTTATCGCTTCGTCTCAATGTTCCAATGTGAATTCATATTCGTCGTCATAAATTCATGTGATCAAAACATCTCCAGATAAACTGCTAGGACTATGTTGAAAACAGTAGAATTCCGACACGTCGCAAATCATGTTTAAATGTCGCATTCACCTACCCTGAACACTAGAGATTTTGCGACAAAACCGCTGAGATGGCAACTCTGCTGTCCACACCAAAATCACTCACGATCGCCGAACCCTCAGACACAGTAGAGAGCTCTCTACTGTGCCTCAGACGATCTAACAAGAATGAACACACCAAAGAGTCGAGTCGACAGTATGATCTCCATTTAAGCGGTATTCTCGATTAAAAGAGGCAAGTACCAATTGTCCGAAGTCACATGTACTGACCGAAGACACCTCATTTGACGGTACTGGCGATGCGATTGAGGATGCTATCTTGTCATGTTCCAAAGTTTGTTTGGTAATTTTGCACTTATCATGCGATGGTTTTTTTTTTTCGAAAATGTTTTTTGGTACTTACGTATTTTTGTCTGAAAAACACGAATTTGGTAATGAAAATGTGAACAAACCATTATTTATTAAGATATTTCACTATAAAGTTACAAATTTTACCATCTTTTCCGCCTTCTTCTGGATCACATTTAGGACAATTTGCCCTTCTTTTTCCATCATTGGACAATTTATATATATCACACAATGTTGGACACATTTTTTTTATTATATGAGTCAACTAGAAATATGTTTTCTTGTGATTTATCCATGTTTAGTGAAAAGAAGGAAGAATATCATTTGAAATAATGGCGTGTGTAATGTCATTCCAAAGCAATCTATTGACATTTGACATCTCGTATTTGGATTGCATATGGATTAAATGGCCGTCATCTGGTATGCTTGCTCACTAAATAGGAAAAACTCGCCATAAAAATCATATTTCCTGTTGAATTTTCTATCTTAAAATGTGTTAGTGAAGTACATCATGAGTATATAAAGTGTCCAATGACAAAATAATAAGAGCAAGTACCTGTAAATGCATCCAACACAAGGGGGAAAAGAAGGCAAAATTTCGAACTTTTTCTTGAAATATCTCGATAAATAGTGGTTTGTTCACATTTTCATTATCAAAATTCGTGTTTTCAGACAAAAATACGTAATTACCAAAAAAAGTTTTCAAAAAAAACCCATCGCATGTAAGTGCAAAATTACCCATAGGTACTTTCAAACTGACTTGCTATATAAACCATTTTTTTTTTTAGTTACATAGTCAAATAAATATATCTATCTATTTTTTGAGTTCATGCTGTCCCCTGATTTTGTCGCATCAATTTCACTCCATTTTCACCCCAAAAATAAAAAGGAAAAATCGAAAATTTGTCATATTCATTGGAAAATATTTCATATTGCTATGGATTTTGTTGTCAACAAGGACATATAAGGCATATTATCGATTGAATGTATGATATCCCCTGATTTTTTGCATCAATTTTACCATATTGTCACCCAAAAAAACGAAAAATAATCGGAAATCTGTCATGTTCATTGAAAAAAAATCTTGCTATGGATTTTTTTTTTACAAAAAATACATAAGACATAGATTAAAATCGTGCTGTCCCCTGCATCAATTTTACCCCATTTTCACCCGAAAATTCTAAAAAAAGCGGAAATCATTTTCATTGGAAAAAAATATCAAGGTCTGATGGATTGGGATGAAATTCTACCTCAACGTATCATGGAAAAATGGACTCAGTATGAAAACGAACTATCTCAGGTATCTTTTATCAAGATTCCTCGAAGGATATGCGGCTGTCAACTATTTCCGATTTGTTATTTCTGACGACGAGGTCAGAATACAGTTAATCTGTGGAAAATCTAAAGGCTAGTTGGTTGGAACTTTGTGGTGCTGTTATATTGCCATGGATTTTAGGATGACCTCTTTCTCTGAAAAATTTTCTTTCAATAGAATCTGTGCTTGGGCAGATTCTATGGTGGCATTGACCTGGATCAAGTCGTCCCTTCATCGCTGGCCAACATTTGTTACCAATAGGGTGAGCACCATCCAGGATAAAGTTTCTCTAACTTTCTATCATCAGATTCTTTCGGAGGATAATCCTTTATCACCCTCTATGGTTTTCAGGCCCACCTTGGCTCAAACTCTCCCCCGACGATTGACCTCTGTCCTGTTAACCTCCTTCCCTTCTATCGGCCCCAGAGGAAAAAACGATTTCTCTCACCAAAATCGTCATCTTCGATGCGCTCGATTCACTCGTCGATATACATTCTCATCGTTGGAAAACATCAAACGCATCGTTGTTTACTGCTTAAGATTTATCAATCCTTTTAAATCCCCTCGTAACAAGATTTTTAGATATATTTCTCAAGAAAAACTTCACTGAGCTCTACTCCTTCTAGTTAAAAGAGTACAGCATCTTTCATTTCATAAATTAATCTTTGTTCTCCAACAAAAAGGTCGCTTACCGAGAACATTTCGAAAATTGAATCGGTGTCTTGGATAGAGTTCTCAGGATGAGCGGTCGCCTTCATCACTTCGGTCTTACTCATGACCAAAAACACCCCGCTTTCCTTCATGTGTTCATTTTGTTTTTTCAAAATCACAAGAAATATCGATTCTCATTTGGTATTAAAATATCAATTCATTCACACTGAGAATAGTCATTAAAGAATACTCTCATTCTTCGTCAATAATTCCTATAGGACGGACGTTCGGATATATGGTCAGTATCAACTCGTGACTCGTTAAATCAACCTCAGTGGAAAAAATTGCTCTCTCTTACTCTCTCTCTCTCTCTCATCAGTTTGATGGGTTACTCTCTGCAGCGATTATTCTTGACATATTCGGGCTAAAAATCAGAGTCT